AGTGTGCGTACTCACAAGGGAAATAATTTTGCATTCGAGTCTTTTCAGTTGGCTTTTTGACTAGGAACTAGTGATACGTATCACTGGTAGAATTGTATTTTTAAAGGTAAATTAGGCAAATCGCTTTTCATAAAGAAATATGATATTTTTTTTAGTCTTCCCTCACTAGAGACAGATGGACGAAATGCCTTTCTATCAAAGATTTAATATAATTGAGGGGTGTAGAGGCAAAACCGGCAATCTCCACTTTTTAACAAAAGTGACAATCTCCAATTTTTAAATTCTAATTACCTAAAAATATAAAAAAGATCAGGGTTTTTTCACCACATAACTAATATACACATCAGAATAAATAAGAATTATCAAAAGAATTAGTAATTTGTCTCTTATGAAAAAATATGATGAGTAGAGATACCCGGTGTTTTGCTTCTAAAACCCTCAATTGAGGAGTGCGTAAAATGTTTCCTTTATATTTTGTAATGCTGAAAAAAATTATCTTGTTTTTTATTAAATCTGGAAAAAGATGGTAAAATTCTCCAAACTTCTTTCTTTTTTTCTTAATCGTATGAGTCCAAACTTTTCCTCACCCCCTCTTCCTCTTCCTCTGTTAGAAGAGCACAAAAAATACGCTTTCGTTCGTACTTGAACTCATTGCTTTAAAAACTAAACTACAGTAAGTAAAAAACACTTCAACTATAACTAATAAATAGCGTTGCCGCGTTTCAAAAGCGCGCTATAGTGGGCGCAGTTCCTTCGCAGCCGGAAAAAATTCTCTTCCCAGCGCCGCGCCGCGCAGCGGTCTAGTGGGCGACAACCTTAAGTTAGGCTTCTGGTTGATATCACAGAATATACTAACGAAAAAGAAGCCCAAGTTCCTTGTAATAAATCGGTTCCATTTTCGTAACGCCATCTCTCGACATAGCTGACATTATAGGTTAGCCAAAGGGGTGCGGGGCCGGGGGGAATTGTAAAATACACTTTTTTATTTTAATTATTTTTATTCGCTATTTGCAATTTTATTTTTAAAACATATTATGTGAAACAATCACATAATATGTCTTAAAAATAAAATTACAAACGGAAACAAAAGGAATTAAATAATCTGAAGTTTATTGATAAAAAAGATAGGCTATGCAAATTCATAAGTATATTAAGTATAACCTCTTTGGTATAACATTGTTAAACAAACATTAACAAATCATAACATATCAGATCATAGAACTAAAAAAAGTACTATTACATAAAAACAGGTGATACAATACTTCAAAATTAATTTTAACATAATATCAAAACCGAAAAATCAAACTGCAAACACAACCACACTTATCACAACAGAAATTAACACACACTTCCGCGGCAAATGTCCAAGAAAGACTGATCATTCTGATTGGTCCTGCTGGTCCGGTCGTAGCTCACGTCGTATTGTCGGTAAGCAAAATCCCTGTCCAAAAATGTTGACGATCAGCGCCATCATCCGTCATAATTGGAAAACTTTTGCTGGAACCATTTTTAATATTTCACTTACATGGCCCTGGTTGATATCTATTCTTGTGACATAGGTTCCCTCCTTGTTTAGTCACACCTCCTACATTACAAGGATAGACTTATGTAGGAAATGCATTGAAATTCTATAGCCGTCCTTCAATATCGGGACAGGAATTTAAGCGGTACCCTCCGTATCAATTCGTATACCTTATTTTAAACGTATTTGATTTCTACCGATAATAAAATTTTGGCAGTGGCAACACTGCTGTGATATTCACCAGTGTCACCAACTTCGGGATTTTATCCCTAAATTTGGGGAGAAAAAATCTATATGGGACAAATACATTTTAATTAAAATATACTGCGGCCTCTCCATAAGAGCAATGAGAGAATTTATGTCCCAGGATTGAAGGACAGAAGATCGAGTTTGACATAAGTCCATCCTTGTTCAGTAGATGGATGTAATGCACATGCGCCGAAATGCTACTTTTCTATTGGTCGAATGGTGTCGAGATGGGTTATCGATTTATTTTTGGACGCGTCGTCGGCGTTTTGTTTTCAGTTTGGACTTGGGCAGTCGCCATTAGTGTTTTCTCTAACTTTCTGTGTTTTCCACGTGTACTGTGTTTTCGTTTGTATTTTAATCTTTGTGCGTTTATTGACAATTTTGTGATTTAGTTTTAAAGACTTTTGCTGTAGTTTAATTAATAGAACAATGCGAATGGGCTACTGCTTTTTGTGTGGTAGAAGCCAACTAACCAAATTAATAATAGAAATTTTTCTCGATGTTCGTTTGTTTCATGAAAGCAAAATCAGAAATGAAAGGGATGTTAATATAAGACAAAAATATACGAAACTAATTTTATTCAAAAATCAATAATTGTTAAAAGCATTATATTTAGTCTTACTATTTTAAAATAAAAAGGACATTATAATGTAAAGACTAAAAATAGAGACTACATAAGGCTAATTCTAATGCTTACACAGTTACACACAAACTGTCTTATTGTAAATTATTATTGTTTATTTTTCATAATATAAAAGAGTATTTACAATGCAACAATGTAAATAATTATATTTTTTGTATCTAGCTTGATTTATGTATAAACTTAATATGTACATACTTTTAGTTATATTTGTTTAATAAAAAATATGTTAATAATAAAGAATTACTTTTGTTTCATTTTAAACCAGGACTGATGTTGATTATTGATCATAAATACATGGGCAGTAAAAGAAACAATAGACAGTAAAAAATGTACTGTTATACTTTGTTTTGCTGCAATTTTTAAGTCGAGTGAAATAGATATGCAATTTGTAATACTAAGTTCTTAAGACAGTTCCTTAATTGAGGTTTTACTAAATTATTTTTTGAATTTTAAAAAAAGTGAAATAGATATGCAATTTGTACTACGAAGTTTTTAAGACAATTTCTTAATAATTGTGGTTTTACTAAATTATTTTTTGAATTTAAAAAAAAAATATCGTACCTGTCACTTTTTTTCATTCGTTTTATTTAATAATAATTGTCTAACACAACAAAGTCTACTTAGAACGATATGATATAAATATAAATGAGTTCATTAAAAAATGGTCTGATTAAAATTAGTACCTAAATAAGCAAAAATTATCCCCTCATAAAACAAGAAATTAAGGAGTTCAGTAAAAGGATTGCAACTATATATTTTATTCAGTAAATTTTCATAATAGTAAGTATAAAAGCACAATCTCTAAAACGACAATATGAATAATGTATATTAAGATTTAACTCGAGTTTCAGTGAAAAAACTATATTGATATTAAAATATTTTAATACCTTCAGAATACTAATTACATACCATAAAATAGGAGTTTTTACGATGCGGGAAGCCTATCTAGAAAATGAATTTTAGAAATCAGCAATGGGATTCTGTAAGCTCTGTAGCAAGAAATTTCCTATCGAGCCTATGCTATTTGTATACGATTGATGTGTCACTAGACAGGGAAATGTTTACAGAATCGCACTGCAGATACCTATTACGCTACTAGGAGCCCCCATTGTGAGACAGATATAAAATAATTTTTATATACCTATTCCATAGCCTATTCTTTTAAATGTCTGTAATATTTATAATAAACTTATTTTAACGAGTAGAAGTATTGCACCAGCATCAAAATTAATACTACTTGTAAAAAACTGTTGCTCCTTGAGTTTGTAATAGATATAAACAAAATAAACATTCGAAAATAACTAAATCGAAGATATCTGAAAACTTTTGGTCGAAAAAGTGTTTTGCCATAACATGTTGGATACGATTAAAATATCTCGTTTGATAAATATGCGCATAATGTTACATTATCAAACTTATTTGATTTCAGAATATTTAACAAAAAGCTTCCAATTTTTCGAAAGATTTTAGAGAACGTCTTTAACCTCAACTTAAAATAAATAAAACCAAAACAAAACATATCATATGATTTGGAACTGTCCAATCAAAGTGCTTACAGATCGAGCAAGCGCAGAAAACCTCCTCCCGAACAAGGATAGACTTATGTAGGAAATGCATTGACATTCTATAGCCATCCTTCAACATCGGGACAGGAATTTAAGCGGTACTCTCCGTATATTTTATTAAAATGTATTTGATATGGGAATTTTTTTAGGGAGTAAAATTTTTTGGGGATATTTTCAAGGATAAAATTTCAATGGAATTTTACCGACCAAAGAGGAGATAAGACCGCTACTGTTATTTTTCAAAATTAATAGGAAAGTATAAATAAAACAAAATAATTTATTTATTTTAATCACCGAATCTTGGATAATAGTTGTGGGTATTTTAGTTGTTTGGATTTAAGAAGGTTTGATATTGCTTTAATGGAAAGTTTTCTGAACAGTTGGCTTAATGGTTTGCAATGGCTGTGATCAGACGTTTCAAAGTCCAACCACTAAAACACAACAAATTGTTTATTTATTATTATTTATATTTTTAGAGTTTTTTCGGGATATTTTTTTAGGTTTTTAGGGATATTTTGGGGATTTTTGATGCGAGCGTTTTAGATTTTTTGGGAGATAAATTTTTGAGAGTTGGGAGCACTGATATTCGCATTCACATCACAAAACAAAACACTGTGCAAGTCACAGGCAGGGTTCGGAAGTAGTTAATTAAGACGTAATTTACCTGATTAACTACGTGTAGTTTTTCTTCAAAAACTACCTCTTTTCCCGTTCATTAACTACATGAGAACTACGTTAATAAACTATGTATTGATATTATGAATAATTTTCCTTTGTATGAGGTGTAGAGATAATATGATGTAAATATTATATTTAAAGCCATATTTCTTCTGTTTTCTTTAATACATTATGTGTTTTTAATTTTTAAAGCTTCAACTTATTAAAACCTCACCTCAAACCTTTGATATTTGAAAGTTACATACATAAGTTACATAAACTACACCCTCTACATAAACTACATTAACTACATGTAATGTAGTTTATGTAGTTTTTAAAAGTAACATGTAGTTTTCCGAACCCTGGTCACAGGTGCAAGTGCAAAACACATAATCTGTGACACATCTGTGACATACATAATATACAAGATTCATGTCCTGTGTGTAATGTGTAATGTTTTATGATTAGAATCTTATTAATAAGCCATAATTATGTTCATAAAAAAGTTCTTTTCAAATAAAAGATTTTTTAGTAGGTCAATTTTCCTGTTTAAACATAGAAATATTATGGTACCAAACTTTTTTAGAAGAAATAATAAGGTTAGATAGATCTAAAACTGTTATGTTTTATATATGTAAATATAATAGAGTTTATTAATAATTACAACATTCCAGACATCTCCTTTCGAGTTTCCGAAAATACAGAAATACGACTTCTCCATGAATAATGAATACCCCATAACAGATGAGAATAATATAAAAGATGTTTATTCAGTTATACCTTCTATTAATAATTATACAAATCGAACTCATACTTGTGGAGAACTGAGAAGGCATCATGTGGGCAAAAACGTTATTTTATATGGTTGGTTAGAATATAAACGTCTGAATAAATTTATTATTTTACGAGATAGTTATGGAGAAACTCAACTTATATTTTCAAATGAGGTAGGCAGGCTTATTAGTGTTATACTGATATTAATAATCTTGATATATTAAAAACCAAACCAAACCAAACACTTGCAAAAAAAATAATTTGGATAGTTTAGTCTGTTTAGAAACTTTTTTATCTCTTGTGTTTTTTTGACAAAACTCACTGATTTAATTAAAAAATAAAATGTAAAGTTGTTGTTTAGATAAAGAATCTAGTGGGCTGCTGTCAAACAGTTTTATTTCGTAATAATATCGTTACATTTCGGGTGTTCGAATTTCGCGGTGTCGGCCGGTATCAAAACTTCTTTTTTCAAAAGTTTCAGATTCATGCAGCCTTTGATGAAGCCTAGTGAACGTGCTGTGATGGGGAGGTCTACGATTCGGATACGTTTCTGTATAAAGACGATAAGCTTCCAAGGAATTTCCATTTGCACGCCCATACATAAAATGCATAGGTATCTGCCATTTCAGTATTAGTGAAATTAACCATTATTGTTTTACTGATTATGTAATACGTAATTAAAACTCTTTTTTTACGCAATTAAATATATCATAAAAAGGCTTCGGAATAATTAATTGTATTAGTAAGATAACAACGTATTGCAGTAGAGTAATGTCAAATAAAATAATATTAGAAAGATCCTAAAAAGTGACAGCGGCCCACTAGATTTTTTCCTAAAAAAAATTAAAACAGCCTACTAGATTCTTTATCTAAAAAAAACAAACCAAACCAAACCAAACAGCCTACTAGATTCTTTATCTAAAAATGTTTTTTATCCTGACATGTAATGCTTTACATTTTATTTTTTTATTTCAAATCAGTGAGTTTTAACAAAAAAACACAAGAGATAAAAAAGTTTCTAAACGAACTAAACTATGCAAATTAATTTTTTTGCATGTGTTTGATAAGATTTTTCGTTAAATTTTGTTAACAAGAATGATAGGGGTAGTTTATTTCAACCCCTTATACTCATTTTAAAAAAGTAAGAAAATTACCAGGAAGTGTGTTTTCATAACAGTAATGCTTCCATAAAATTTTATTAGTCTATTGCTTTTCGTTTTCAAGATAAAAAATCAAAACATTTTTTCGCCATCTTTGTACCGCGATATCTCCCTAATGGTTGACTTTTGACCCAACGTTTATAAAGCAAACTACCCTTTATTTTGAACAAGGAATCACCCCCTGAAGTTTTTCGCATTTGTTTTGAAACATCGTGTATATCGGATATACAGGATGGTCCGAATTGTATTCCGGAAACTTCGGCAGCATATTCTGTAGATAAAAATAGGTAAAAAAGTTTGTATAAATGTATGTCCTAAAATGCTTAGTTTCGGAGATACAGGGTGTAGAAATTCATTTTTATTTCGATTTTTTCTAAATAATTTCTGAAGAAACATCAATATTTAGATGAAAATTTTTGTTTTGGAGTTTTTTGACATGAGAAATTTGATTTTGGTGTCAATATGACTCCTACTGGTAGAGGGCGCCACCTACATGTGTTTTAACTGTTTTGAAGCATAATAACTTTTTGTCCGTAACTGTATAAAACTACCGAGGGAAAAAATATACTTCTCTGTGATTATAGTGAGTATACATCTCTGTGATTTTTTATGTAAAAAATATCTCTTTGTAAAAATCGCTACGAGCAACCGTTCTCAAGATATTTAGAATGGAAATAGTCAATACATGACATTATTAACGAAAAATAAACACGTTGAGTAGATAGTTATTTCATTGAAATAATAAATTTGGGAAATTTTTATTTTTTTAGATTAATCATATTTTTTCTGCAAAAAAATGATGATAAAACAGTTTTTGTTGAACTTTTGGTACAAAAATATTTCGAAATTTTCTAGTGGGTAAGCTAAAACTACTAGTGGGTAAATGAATTTCTAAATATATTACGAATTTTTTTGGAACTTTAGTTTCGGAGATATACATTTAATCGGACATTTTTAAAAAAATTAATTTTATTTTTCAGAAACTATAAGAGACAGAGTTTACCAAAAATGCTTTTTATAACTACTAGCGGGTAAATGAATTTGTAGATATATTACGAATATTCTTGGAACTTTAGTTTCGGAGATATACATTTAATCAGACATTTTTAAAAAAATTAATTTTATTTTTCAGAAACTATTAGAGACAGAGTTTACCAAAAATGCTTTTTATAACTACTAGCGGCTAAATGAATTTGTAGATATATTACGAATATTCTTGGAACTTTACTTTCGGAGATATACATTTAATCGGACATTTTTAAAAAAATTAATTTTTTTCAAAAACTATTAGAGACAGAGTTTACTAAAAAAAATGCTTTTTTATAACTACTAGTGGGTAAATGAATTTCGAGATATATTACGATTTTTTGGAACTTTAGTTTCGGAGATATACATTTAATCGGACATTTTTAAAAAAAATTAATTTTATTTTTCAGAAACTATTAGAGACAGAGTTTACCAAAAATGCTTTTTATAACTACTAGCGGGTAAATGAATTTGTAGATACATATATTACGAATATTCTTGGAACTTTAGTTTCGGAGATATACATTTAATCGGACATTTTTAAAAAAAATAATTTTATTTTTCAGAAACTATTAGAGACAGAGTTTACCAAAAATGCTTTTTATAACTACTAGTGGGTAAATGAATTTCTAGATATATTACGAATTTTTTTGGAACTTTAGTTTCGGAGATATACATTTAATCGGACATTTTAAAAAAAATTAATTTTTTTTTTCAAAAACTATTAGAGACAGAGTTTACCAAAAATGCTTTTTATAACTACTAGTGGGTAAATGAATTTCTAGATATATTACGATTTTTTTTGGAACTTTAGTTTCGGAGATATACATTTAATCGGACATTTTTAAAAAAAATTAATTTTATTTTTCAGAAACTATTAGAGACAGAGTTTACCAAAAATGCTTTTTATAACTACTAGCGGGTAAATGAATTTGTAGATACATATATTACGAATATTCTTGGAACTTTAGTTTCGAGATATACATTTAATCGGACATTTTTAAAAAAATAATTTTATTTTTCAGAAACTATTAGAGACAGAGTTTACCAAAAATGCTTTTTATATCTACTAGTGGGTAAATGGATTTCTAGATATATTACGAATTTTTTTGGAACTTTAGTTTCGGAGATATACATTTAATCGGACATTTTTAAAAAAATTAATTTTATTTTTCAGAAACTATTAGAGACAGAGTTTACCAAAAATGCTTTTTATATCTACTAGCGGGTAAAAGAATTTGTAGAAATATTACGACTTTTCCTGGATCTTTAGTTTCGGAGATATTAATTTAATCGGACATTTTTAAAAAAAAATAATTTTATTTTTCAGAAACTATTAGGGACAGAGTTTACCAAAAATGCTTTTTATAACTACTAGGGGGTAAATTAATTTCTAGATATATTACGAATTTTCTTGGAACTTTAGTTTCGGAGATATTAATTTAATCGGACATTTTTAAAAAAATTAATTTTATTTTTCAGAAACTATTAGAGACAGAGTTTACCAAAAATGCTTTTTATAACTACTAGCGGGTAAATGAATTTGTAGATATATTACGAATATTCTTGGAACTTTACTTTTGGAGATATACATTTAATCGGACATTTTTAAAAAAAAATTAATTTTATTTTTAGAAACTATTAGAGACAGAGTTTACCAAAAATGCTTTTTGTAACTACTAGCGGGTAAATGAATTTGTAGATACATATATTACGAATATTCTTGGAACTTTAGTTTCGGAGATATACATTTAATCGGACATTTTTAAAAAAAATAATTTTATTTTTCAGAAACTATTTGAGACAGAGTTTACCAAAAATGCTTTTTATAACTACTAGCGGGTAAATGAATTTGTAGATACATATATTACGAATATTCTTGGAACTTTAGTTTCGGAGATATACATTTAATCGGACATTTTAAAAAATTAATTTTATTTTTTAGAAACTATTAGAGACAGAGTTTACCAAAAAATGCTTTTTGTAACTACTAGCGGGTAAATGAATTTGTAGATACATATATTACGAATATTCTTGGAACTTTAGTTTCGGAGATATACATTTAATCGGACATTTTTTAAAAAAATTAATTTTATTTTTAGAAACTATTAGAGACAGAGTTTACCAAAAATGCTTTTTATAACTACTAGCGGGTAAATGAATTTGTAGATACATATATTACGAATATTCTTGGAACTTTAGTTTCGGAGATATACATTTAATCGGACATTTTAAAAAAAAAATAATTTTATTTTTCAGAAACTATTTGAGACAGAGTTTACCAAAAATGCTTTTTATAACTACTAGCGGGTAAATGAATTTGTAGATATATTACGAATATTCTTGGAACTTTAGTTTCGGAGATATACATTTAATCAGACATTTTTAAAAAAAATAATTTTATTTTTTCAGAAACTATTAGAGACAGAGTTTACCAAAAATGCTTTTTATAACTACTAGCGGGTAAATGAATTTGTAGATATATTACGAATTTTCTTGGAATTTTAGTTTCGGAGATATACATTTAAGCGGACATTTTTAAAAAAATTAATTTTATTTTTCAGAAACTATTAGAGACAGAGTTTACCAAAAATGCTTTTTATAACTACTAGCGGGTAAATGAATTTGTAGATATATTACGAATATTCTTGGAACTTTACTTTTGGAGATATACATTTAATCGGACATTTTTAAAAAAATTAATTTTTTTTTTCAAAAACTATTAGAGACAGAGTTTACCAAAAATGCTTTTTATAACTACTAGTGGGTAAATGAATTTCTAGATATATTACGAATTTTTTTGGAACTTTAGTTTCGGAGATATACATTTAATCGGACATTTTTAAAAAAATTAATTTTATTTTTCAGAAACTATTAGAGACAGAGTTTACCAAAAATGCTTTTTATAACTACTAGCGGGTAAATGAATTTGTAGATACATATATTACGAATATTCTTGGAACTTTAGTTTCGGAGATATACATTTA